CTATCATGATGCTGAGATCGGTCTGCCCCCTTCCACATCTCACAAAAAGCAACTTTCTCCTTTGAGCACATAGGAACAGGTCAAGTGTGGAGTCCTGGTTTGACCCCTGCTGTAACATGAGGAGCCTGGGGGTGGTGGTGGAGGCCAAGGCTGGTCAGGCCTGGCCCATAGTGTCCCTTTCTTCCCACACTCCTTAAGAACTAAACTGTGGAATCTAGAATTATCCCTCAGTCTCAATGTCCCCTCAAATCAACAGATTTCTCCAAGGAACAAGCAACTTCAAATTTAAGATTCTCGGGAGGAGGAGAAAGCAAAGGTCATCCAAGAGGGAATGAAATCTCTGACCTCTGTGGGAGATCCTTGCATCCATGGACTTCCCCATAAAACAGAAAGAGAGAGAAGCAAACACAACCCGATGGAGTCTAGGGAGTGGCAGGGGTTCCCTGTTGCTGCCTCCCATGGGATTAATTTCCCTGGACTGTACTCAGTGGTTTATTGGGCTGTCCCACTAGGTAACGAAATCAGAACTGGGGGTTCACTGGGCATCAGAGGCTCATGGTCCAGATTATGTCTGGTTAAACAGAGAGGAGAAAAGCAGCAAAGCTTTTCCTCCCTTTCCCCCGATGGAAATATGGTCTGCACTCAGAAACATCTCTGTTTCCCTGTCATTTCCAAATGCTTGACTTCGGATGGGGGTGGGAAAATCAAGGGGAACATGCCCTCCTGATTGATCCCGACTGCAGCCTTCAGGTTCCACAGACCAGGGGTTGAGCTGAGTCTGCTAGTGCGTGCTTGGAGATCCCGCCGCTCAAGCTAGGGCAAGAAGGGTGTCCTCTCTTCGATGTCTCCCCTTGCCCCCTCCCTTCCACTGCTCCTGGACCCTTTTAGCTTTCTCCACCCCCCCACCCCCACCACACACCTCCGTCTGTTCCTGGAGCTTCTCTGTGTGTGTGCGTGCAAGCGGGAGAGCCAGCGAGAGGAAACGACCTGCGAGGGGGAGTTTGGGGCCGCGTGTCCTCGCGCATCTTCTTCTCCTGCTCATCTCGCCATCTCACCAGGGAAGTTGAGTGTTGGGGAGGAGGGTGATGGGAGGATAGAGCACAGCCAGAGTGCAGGGAGTGTGGGGGAAGGGTCAGGAATTGGGGAAAGGGTAGCTCTTGCTGCCGCTGGAATTCATAGTAAGCAGCGGCACTCCGGATCCCCGCCCCAAAAGGGGGCCTGGCACCCCCCACTCCTGCCCACCCAAGGTGACCGCTGACGCTGTGGCCGGAGAGTCACCAACATCTTTCCAAAGGATCTGGAATCCAGCTTCAAAAACTGAATCGCGCTGTGTGGAGTAGCCGGAAGAATGAAGCGTAGGAGTCTGTGGTCTGGCCAGGGAAGCCACGTGGAGGGGTCTTTTGCTTCCGGCCCCAAGCCACCTGGATACTACCCAGCCCGGGACTTCAGAGCGGGTTCTGGGAAACAGGCTGAGTGGGAGAGAAGCCCAATTGACCTTGTTTCCAGGGCCGGATAAGACTCAGGCCTCGGGATGGGTGCCGAGTTCCTTTTCTCTCTAGTTGTCCCTGCCAGGCCTGTCCCATGCCATGAGCAGACCAGATTCCAGATTTGAGTCTGGGATTTGCGCGTAGCTTCATATACCATGCGAGAAATGGGGGAGAAACGTGGGTCAAGTCCTTTCTCCCAAGAATAGGGATGATTCAGAGGTTTATTAAATCCCCTTAGACCACTGAGACAGGTGAATCCTAGGTGGAAGGGCCCAGTTCTTAATCTCACTTTAGAGATATGATCTTATAAGAATTCTAGAATGAAATTTTGAGAAGATTCCAGTGAAATTCTCTGAAAACTACGGAAGAATTCCACCCAGAATTCTAGCCAGGTGTCAGAAAGGGCGTCTCTCTGTGTGGCACTCCCCAGGGCCGGGCACAAGCAACCTCCCTCTGAGGCTGGTACACAGGAGACTGGACGAGAGTCAGCACCTGGGAGTGGACAGCTCCCAGCCCCCACCCCGCCCCGCCCCTTTCCGCCTCGTCCACCCGGAACAGTCCTCGGGTGGAGGAGAGAGAGCACCGTCTCCACTGGTGAGACAGAGTGTTTGGAAGTGGTCACTTAAGGGAGACACCGAGCTGAAGGTCAGACAGTATAATCTGATCTACCCTTTCACATTTAAGGCTTCCTTCTTCAACTACCTTCTTTCCAGATTTTGTCAGGGCTCTCTCATTTTGGGGCCCTGGATCCCAATCTTTAAAAGCCTTAGCATGCCTGACTGCAAGCTCCAGCCCCAACAGTACACCACCCCCCATTTCAGTCCTAAAACAAGCAACAGTGTTTGTGTGTGTGTTTAAAATAATTTAAGTAAGCAGCTTCAGAAACAGCCCAGTTTTGGTACTCCTAACCGTGTTCAGGCTTAGGGATGGTGGTCTTCAGGATTTTGACCCCCCCTCCAGATATTCCAGGGTGTCTAAGAGAGGATCCTTTCAGGGAAGTCAGTTCAGAGATGCCTGTGCCCCTAAGCCTCAGAGAAAGCGAATTGTGAGGCTGTCTTGTGAGATGGGGAAACAAGCTTTTCTGTGGTGCCCTTCTTCCACCTCCCTAGACTGAGGGCTTCCCTCTGCCTGGAGCTGTACCAGGCAGGAAGGAGGCTGTCCAGGTGTGGACCAGGGGTTTCCTGCTGTCCTATCAGAGGAAACTCTCGGCATCGTCAAGCTCCATTCTTCCAGGTGGACACCTAGATCCGGACCCCTCCTATAGCTCTGGGAACACCTGCAACCTCATCAACACTACTACATATTTCAACATTCCTGAGACTAAAAAGGGCTGATTCCCCTGAGTCCACTGAAACACAAATTTAAAACCAAAAAGACTTCCTACATTAGTATTTCATCCTCATAAACTTATAATTTTTTTATTTAAAAATATCCCTGTCTGGCTCAAATGGTTTTGTCTTTATCTCTATGCATTGTTTTTTGCAACAGTGGGCAGAGGGTTGTAAAATGACCGGCTGCTCCCAACTGGGTCATTTTTTAGTGATGAAAAGATATTTTGTTCTCAAAGGAGGTGCATGTGCATGTTTGGGAACTGAAGGAGTGTAAAGAGATTAGTGCAATGCTTTGTACTAGGAGCATGTGTGAGTCTCTGTAAGGTCTGGGAGGGGCAGTGAGTGTAGACGTTTTGGTGCCCAGTGGATGGGTGTGAGCGAGGTTGTAGGGTGGAAATCCCACCCGGAAATCTCCAGGGTCACTGTACCCGGCCTCTGTACAGTCACTTGACTCTGTGTCTCCATCCCCCAGAGCCCCAGCTCAATCCCCCAAATGAAATGAGGCCACCGTGAGAAACCGGGTCCAGCTTTGCATCTCATTTACATAAATATTTATTAATCGTCATTAAACTGAACAGAAACACGCAATGCACTTCGGGTGTCCGACGGGAGTTTCATCTTCGCTACAAGAGGAAGGTAAAATTGCGTGTGAGTGTGTGGGTAAGTGTGTGGGTGTGTCGCCTGTGGGTTTGCATTTTTGCATCGTGTGTTTGGATGCCTGATCTGCCTCTGGTGGGGAGAGGTTCTCCTTTTGCTCCTTTCTCTGGGAAACCTCCAGAAGGAGCCCTCAGCCCTCTCCCTGCCCACCTGCTAGCCAGAGCCAAGAGGACTCCTCAGACAAAAAAAACCTCTCCGGCCACCGGAAATCGCCGGGCGCCTGGCTCCCACCGAGGCACATTCGCGCAAGGGGGGGCTGGCCCTAGGTCTTGGTCTCCACCCTCAACCCGGGATGAGGATTGCCTGCGGGGAGCGAGGGTTCGGCGAGCTCTCCTCCCTCTGTCCCCGGACGCCCGCGCCGGGCCTGCGTGTGCGTGCGGTGTGGTGTGCGTGTGTGTGTCTCTCATGCAAACCCTCCCTCCCCAAACCGACCCCCCCAACAGTTTGCCATTCCATACAAATTTGGAAACAGGTTTTTAAAAAACAGCATGACGCACAATGGGGACGGGGCGGGGGAGGGCAGTGGCACTGGGGCCCCAAATCTCCGAGTCACTGATTGTAAGAACCTGGGGAGGGGAGGGGGCGGCGCCGGCCCCCACTTCACCAAAGTGCACAGATCCGCGCTTGGGCGGCGCGGCCCGCGGGCCGGGAGGGGCATCCCGGGGCCGGGCCGGGCCGCTAGGCTCTGTCAGAACCTCCTTGCATAGATATTTGTGTCTTTTTATTATTGGTAGTAGTATTTTTTGCCTTTTATTGCTTCTAAAAGTTCTTACTGCGTTTTCTCTCCGATCCGGACTCTGCGTTCGGCCTCCGCCGCCTCTTAGCTTTTTTTTTTTTTTTTTGTATGTTTGTTTGTTTGTTTAAAAAAAGGAAAAGGGAAAAACGGATTCTAGTTACAAATTGTCTTGGCCTCTCTCTTTCCTCTCAATCCACACTTCCTCCCGCCAAAATTAAAATCACAAAACGCTGAGACTAGGGGTTGGGGAGAGGGCGTTCCAGGTCCAGACTCCGGCACCCTTTTGCCCTCTTCAAGAAAGAGGGGGCGCCTGGCTCCTTTCTGCCTCGGCAGCTCGGTGTCTGTTATAATAATAATGATAATAATAATAATAATAACAACAACGACAACAATAGAGGGAGAACAGTATCCCACAGCTCAGCTGCCCCCTTGCCAAGGCCTTTGGGCCTGCAGGGGGGAAGGGGAGGAGGAAACCTAAGTGTAGGGATTGGGAAATGGAGGGTGGTCTCCCGGGAGTGCCCTAAGAGGGGTCCCTGGAGAACCACCCCTGGGAAAGAGGAGGAAACCCCTTGGGGAGAGAGAAGGCGAGTCCCCTGGGGGAAGCGAGGCCCCTGGGACGGGCCACCCACAGGTCAGAGGACTGCACTGCCCCGGAGAGGGTCAGTACCGGCGGCCCGCTCCCCGCGCCCGGCGCCAGGATAGGTGGGGGTCTCCTTGCGCTCGGGGGAGGGGGCGGGAGCCGGGATGCGGGCAAAGGCAAAAGAAAAAGAAAGGGGCAGGCGCGAGGTCTCAGTTATGGAAAAACGCATTGAGCTCCTCGTACATGGGGCCCCGGTCGTGGTGAAGGTGCATATCGTAAGACAAGAGATTCTCCGAGTGGACGCCCCCGCGCACAGCCGACGAGCCGAAGACCAGCCCGTGGCCCGTGGGCCGCGAGCCGGGCAGCGCCGAGTAGTGCATAGAATAATGGTAGCTCTTCTCGTGGTCGGGCGACGAGTCCTGCTTGAGCGAGAAGTTGCCATTGAGACAGAGCGGGGGGCTGAGCGGGCCCTCGTACTCGGAGCTGTTGTAGTCCGGGCTCGCGCCGCCGCCGCCCGCCGCTGCATACAGTGTCTCGTAGGCGGCGCAGTAGCCGTGGGTCCGCAGGGCGTGCGCCGCACCGCCGCCCAGGCCGCCCGCCGCCTGGCACTGCGCGCCCGCCAGGCGCGAGCACGGGTACGGGTACGGGTGCATGGCGAACGGGCCCCCCGAGCCGTGGAAGCGGCCCGTGCCGTCGGCGCCCTGCTCCGTGAGGAAGTTGCGCGAGTTGAGCTGCAGGCAGCCGGCCACCAGGTTGGTGGTGGGCTGCGACAGACCCTTGCACAGCGTCTGCACGTAAGACACCAGATCGGGCCGCTTGCCGGAGCGCAGGATCTCCGAGAGCGCCCAGATGTAGTTCTTGGCTAGGCGCAGCGTCTCGATCTTGGACAGCTTCTGTGTCTTGGAGTAGCAGGGCACCACCTTCCGCAGGTTGTCCAGCGCCGCGTTCAGGTCGTGCATGCGGTTGCGCTCCCGCGCGTTCGCCTTCTGCCGCCGCAGCTTGGAGCGCTCCAGGCGCGCCTTGGTCATCTTGCGCTTCTTGGGCCCGCGCTTCTTGGGCCGCTCGCCCTCTGCCTCGTCCAGCCCTTCCTCCTCCTCCTCTTCCTCCTCCTCCTCGCCCCCCAGCTCGCCTTCCTCCTTGACCTCGGCCAGCGCGGCCTCCGGAACCTCGTCTGCACGGAGAGGGACTGGCTTGGCAGCCCGGGCGGGCCCCGGAGCCCCGGGCCCCGGCGGCGGCGGCGGCGGCGGCGGCGGCGCGTCGCCCTTCTCGCTCCTCGGCTCGTCCTCGTCGCCGTCGCCCCAGCTGGCGAACTTGGGCACGTCCGAGAGGAGACCGGGCTCGCTGAACAGGCGGGTCAGCATGGTGCCTGAGGGCGCCCCGCGGGCGGGAAGGGGAGACAGATAGCACTGAGTGAGGGGCGCGCTGGGGTCACGCCGCCCCCCCCAACCTGCCTCCACCCCCGAGTCCGGTGTGGGTTCCTGCCCAGGGGGCCCTGGCTGCCCACCTCCTCCGCCGGCCCCGCCCAGAGCCGGCCCAGCCCTGCCCCGGCGGCCCGCCGGGGTCTCGGCCCAGGCCCTCTCCCCGGCGCTGGGCCCCGGCTCCGCCCCTCGCCTGAATGAGGGGCCGCCGCCCGCGCTCGGGGCTTCTCGGGGTCAGGGCAGGGACCGCGTCGGGGCTTTAGGAAAGCGACATCTTCGCGGGGGGAGGCGGCGCGCTCTGCCCTGAACGCCGGTTCTCTCCTGGCGGTGGAGGAAGGCTGGGCGGCCGCGGGTGGGGACAGCTGCCCCGCTCGGCGGCTCTGGCGGCCCGGGCCCCTCGGCCCCGCTCCCCCACCCCTCCCGCGGCTCTCACCCCCACGCTCCCTAATCCAATTTGCAACTTGGCCGCGCGCCGCCCTCGGCTCGGCCCCCACCCCCGCAGCCCCAATTCCAGAGGCGGGAGGATCGTCTCTTCTAGCCGTGGCGTCCCCAGCTCCCCGAGCCGGCTCCGGGCGGCGAGGACCGAGGAACACGGGCGTGGGGAGGAGACGGAGAGAAGCGAGCCCCGTCCGTCTCCCCTGCGGTCAGGGACCCCTTTCCCCGCTTCAAACTGCCTCCCTCCCTCACGACTCTTCAGATCTCGTTATATTTCGGGGTTGATGGGTGGGGGAGAAATCAAATTTGTTTGCTTTTCTTTTTTTCCTTTTTTTCTTTCCTTTCCTTTTTTTTTTTTTTGGTGCTGAGGAAAGGTCGCAGGTTCCTCTGGGACAACCATGGGGGGAGTCCCCATCTCAGCCTCTTCACTGCCCCCCCATGATCCTGCTTTTCTCCCCAAACCCATCGCAGGCAAAGACGCCTCCCTCCGCAGCCCCCTGAGCTGCAGCCCCTAGGGGAGAGGGAACCCAGGGCACCTCTGATGCCCACCCTATGAGGGGGCATCGTCCCAGGAAGGGGGTTTGGGGACCCTCTTGTCGGCCGAAGCAGCCGCCCTCCCCCCACCCACCCCCCCACCCGGCGGGTCAGATCCAGCTCCCTTTCGGACAACTTACCTCGGAGAGGAGTCAAGGGGAGAGGGGAGGGGAGGGGGGGGAGGGGGGCAAGAGAGAGAGGGGGGAGAAGAGGAATCTTCTCGCTTATTTCATTGTTCCCCCATCTTCAGGGAGCGGGGGCAGCGGCTCCTCAAGGCGGCGGGCGCCGGCGTCTTCAGAGCGCCATGCGAACCGCGGAGCGAGTGTGGCATCTCTACCAGGCGGGGTACCAGCCTCTATGCCAGGCCATATGGGCTTGGCACGTCACGGGCAGCAGCTATCACATGAGAGACGGTGATTGGCATGCGTCTGCATTGGGGGAGAGCCGGCTCCCCCGGGACCCGCCGCCATCTGTCACTCTCTACTCCAAAAAAAAAAAAAAAAAAAAAAAAAAATTAAATAAATAAAGGAAATAAATAAATATCTCTGCCGCCCTCCCCTCCCCGCCCAACGCAGGGAAAGCAGGGATTGAGAGGGAGGTGGGAGGAGTTGCCCCCCTCTGATGTAGAGCCCCCCACATGGGAACAATGGGGTGGCAAGCCTGGAAATTGGGCGTGTGGTGGCCCCCAATTCTATGCTCCCTCCAAGGTCCTGCTCTGTCCATTTCATCCCTTGCAGGCCCCCAAAGGTGGGTCAGAGACCAAATCCTCAGGTCTGGAAGAAGGGACCTCTATGCTTGCCCCCACTCCCCAGGAGGATCCCCTCAGCCACAAAGGGACAGCTGAGGCCCCCTCCCAGGGTGGGCGTGGGGGGCGTCCCTGGCCCAGCCCCATAGGTAGATGTTGGCACCATGCCATCCCTCATCCCTGTCTGCCCCTCCCCCATCCACCCTCACGCACACACAACATATGTGGCTGAACGAAATTCAAACCAAGGAAAAGACAGAGAAAAGGAAAGACTTGCCTGGATGTCTGTGCCTCTGTATGGGCGTGTGCGTGTCTGTGGGGACATGTGTGTATATCTGTGGAGTCAGCCTATGGGAGAGATTTCCTTGGGTGTTTGGGGGAATATGCATGTTGAGGTGGGGGTGGAGAAGAGCCTCTGGAATAAGCCTGTGCACCCACCATTGGGAGTGAGGGAGAGGGTCTCAGTCTGGATTCCTAACCCAGAAATCTCTCACTCATTCCCCCACCACCACCACCTCCTTCCCTGCTAGACAAGCAACCATCCCACCAGTGGCTTTCTCTCCTGGCCTTCTGACTTATTGAAGGGAGGAGGAGGGGGCTGGGCTGGAAATTGCCTGAAGTTCCTGGAGAAGACTCAACATTCTCCTCCCCCTACAAAAAATACTGAAAATACTGAAGCCAACTCCAGCAATCTTGAGAGGGACAAAGGGGAGGTGGGTCAGACAGGTGTCTTGATAAAGAAGGTAGGAAATTGCTGTTTTTTTTTCTTACAGCTCACCTTTCAACTCTCTCACTGGGCCAGACACAGATGCAAATGGCACAAATTGAGGGGGTAGCTTTAGAGACACACACACACACACACACACACACACACACCCGTGCCTCACCCTGTGGCGCAGAAAGTGGAAAGACATCCTGACTCAGACGTGTGTGTGAGCAGGTAATCACAACCTGGTGAGAAAGACCCTTGCCCACACCCTGATTCAGCATTTGTGTGTTTCAGACCCACATTTCCTGTTCCTCCCCGTCCTCCAGCTTACGTAGACAACTTCAGTTATATCTTCCGCACACACACTTCGATGTCAACCATGTGCCAAGCACTGTGGTGGCACAATGATGAGCAAGGCAGGGGCTTTGCTCTCAATCTGGGCAGGTACCGTTTTCTCCCTCAGGGAGCCTCCAAAGGGGACCTTGGGCTGGTAAGACACTGATTGGATCCTTGGTAGAATGAATTAGGTTTCAGATAGAGGCATATACCATGGCTAAGGAGGCCTTAGAGAAGAGGGGCTGGTGCTGTCTGAAGCTCTCAGGGATAGGCCAGGAACTAAAAGGAGCCTCAGAATGAATAGCCCCAACTCGTTTTTTTTTTTTTTCCTGAGACCCATATAGGGGGACTGTCTTGCCCAGGAACACACCAATGGAGAGCAGAACCAGACCTAGAACTTAGGGGCTTGACTCCCAGCCAAGTGCTCCTTCCACAACCCCACAATCTGCCTCAGTGGTCTCCAAGGATGAGAAGCCAATGCTAAGTTCTCCACCATTCATGCGTGGATCTTAGGTCTGGGAAGGTAGAATCCTACCTATGGCAGAAGGTCTAGGGCGCTCTGGGCATGGCCAGAGGGAGAGGCCGAGGGATAGGTCTCAGGTAGGCTGAGACTCAGGAATGCTATCCAAATTTGATCACAGCCTCAAAAGCGTTACTGTCCCTTTACTGAGGGTGGGGTCTTCAATCCTGACATGGGATCCTTCTCCTCAAGTCTCCCAGCCATATATTTTGGTTACATTCACGTGCTTTGGGCTCTGATTGCTCCCCAACCCCACTTACTAGCGTCAAAGAATGCTAACTACCTTGAGCAGGTTGCATACTGTTTCTCAGTCTTGATTTCCCCATCTGTAAAATGGGGATAATTATACTACACCTCATAGGGCTGCTGTTGGTACTAAATGGGATAATACCTATAGTGAGGTAGCACAGGGCCAATGATATAGTAAGCATTCAATAAATGCCATCTCTGAGTTTTATTAAAGCCTTTTATAAACTGTAACATGCTCTACCATATTAATTTCTTTTACATACCCACACACACATTCAGAATGCTTTGTCTATACAGGAATTGAGTTTTTGTTGAATTAGTGGGTGAATGAATGGATGCGTAAGAGAATGAATAGTTCCTTGGGGGAGAGAGACACCCTCTGCCTTCTCCTCTGGACACTGAGGGATGGGTTAAGCTACCAGGGGTCTCATAGACCCCTACCAGCTTTGCTTTCTGCTCAGGACAGGAAGAAATACCTTGTTCGGGATAACGGGGCCCCTGGGAATTCTCTCCATCTCTCCCGGTCTCCTGTTAAGAATGACCTCAGCTCTCTGGGTCTGAGAAGGTCCTCTCAACGCCCCCACAAGAGGAGGCCTGGGGGTGGGGGTGGGCATACTGGAGGGTATGGGCAGCTTCATCCCTCTAGGTCTGTTTCCTGCCCCTGTCTTTTCTTCCTTCAGAAAAATGGAACAAGTTTTTCTCACTCGACACGTTTCAACTTTTTTTTAGAAGATACAATAAAAAACAGGGGAAAATTGGAACAGAGGGAGGTGTGGGATGGGCCAGCCTCAGACATAGGCTTGGAAGAGGTACAACACACACGTGTCCACATCCACACGAACAAGTATGAACATACAGGGACATGCATGCTCCTCTCTGTTCACCCAGAGATGCGGAGATGCAGTGACGGAGAGACAGAAAGAGCCAGAAATGGAAGGAAGGAGACGGAAGGAGAAGGACACCCAGAGATGCCATCTGTTCCTCCCCCTGGCATTGGGGGAAGGGAGTTGGTGAGGGGCCTAGTCCCCTCTGGGTCTCTGAGAGGGAAAGGGGAGTGATGGGTACCTCAGCCAGGCCTGTAAGACTCCCTTTCTACTGCCCACCCCCATAGAGGGAGCTGGGAGGAGGGTCTGAGGTTCCCATGGAGACATAGCCCCATCCCAAGGGAGGCCACAGTCTGGGCACCTAAAATGGCTGCCTCAGAGGGGTGGCGGCCATTTTGTGCAGGCTTAGGTCCTGATGGGGGGCAGGGGGGAGGCAGGCAGAGAGAGAGAGAGGGAGGGGACAGGTCATTCCTGAGCAGTCTAGGGGAATCGTGCTCAGGGGACAGGATGAATGTTCTGTAAAACTGCTCTCATTACACCCCCTGCTCCACCAAGGTAAAGACATACACACAAATCCACTCCATTCTGTCA